GCTGGCAAGGTTGTCAGGGAAGGAAATGAAGGGAAATTAACATTTATTGAGTTCCTAAACATTTTCACATGTATGATCACAATTGATAGTTATCATAACCTCATGAGGTAAGTATGGGAGTAGTGTAGTGTAGTGACTGATGGGAACTTTAGAGCCAAGGACTTGATTTCCAGTCCAACTCTTACCAGTTTTAGCTGCAGAAACCTACCAGTTATTTCTCGCCAAGCCTCAGTTACCTTATCTGTAAACTGGAAATAATATGTCATACTTCATAAGGTGTTTGAGAAGCAAATGTAGAGCACCTAGCAGAGTCCCAAAATAGAGTAGGTACTCATCAAGATTTATTTTTATTATTACTTTTATTTTTATCATTGTGATTATGGTGTTGTTGGTGATGATGATGAAGTCAATTCTGCAGATGAAAAACAGGCTCAGAGAGCCGAAGTAACTTGCTTAAGGCGGCACGGCTAGTAAGCCTGAAAGGCATCTAGCAGAGTGTCTGCCACCATGGCAGGTGCCCGATTATATTTGCTTTCTTCTTTCCTGACTTAAAACTCAATGATTTTCTGAGAATTTTATTCTTTAAAAATAATGAGTCAGGCTCAACTCTAGCTAGGTTAATGCAAAGTACTACCACTCATATAAATATGTGAAAATTATTAATATTTTCTTTTGCTCATAGGTAGTAATACATGGAATAAAACAACAAAGTAGATGCCAGACCTCACCAAAAAAGATGATAATTAGGTCCACGGTTTTACCTAATGAGGGATAATTCATTTCTCCCCTAAAGAGGTACTTATTTTCCCTCCTAGATGTCATTAAGATCAGCGAGTCAGTGACCGATAAGATCCCAAGTTTCTGGACTTTCACCTCCTGGATTTTCATACTTGAGTATATATAAGTCAGTGCACCAAAGGATAGTGCTAGCTAAAAACTTAAATAGGTTGAAAATGTATTTATGTAAGTTCACAGATGATAGATTCAGGTTTTTGTCCTTGGCCTTTTTCTAGTCTCACTCTACACATTCTCCCTGGGTAATATCATCCATCCCCAGGCATCACTGTAAGATACTGATGAACTCAAATCTACTTATATCAACAGTCCAGATCGTTCCTGAACTCTAGACATGCATTTCCAAGTGCCTGATAGGAAAATTCACCTGGATGTCACCCAAGTGTCTTAACACGTAACATGTCCAGAAAGAAATTCATTCTCTTCCCTTCCAAACCCACCCTTCCTCCTATTTTCCTTCTCTTGGTAAATGGAGCATCATCCTCCCAGTGTCCCAAACTTGAAATTGAGGCATCCTTGACTCTGTTATCTCTTTCAACTCAACAACTAATCAATTACCAACTCCTATCAATTCCTCCACACTGATATCTCTGCACTATGTCTCTTTACCTCTTCTGATACAGCCAGGGTTTATACCGTCATTGCCATTCTTAGCCTGGCCTAGTTCAGTAGCTTCCTAGATTGTCTCCCTGCATCCAATTTTTCCCACCTGCAATCAATCTGTTATACTGCTGCTTGTATATCTACAATGTTCTTCTACACTTTTCATCCTAAAAATCTTATTCAACATGAAATTCTCCATTACTTAAAAGCTGTGGTTTTTAATGCATAAAGGAAAAAAAGAACTCCTAAATTGGTCATGCAATACTTTTTGTGATCCAGCTCCAATGTACCTTACTCTTAGCCATACTGAAATTTTCACCATCCCAGGCCTTTTCACAGCTCTATGCTTTTGCGCCTGCTAATCTACCCTCTTGGAATGTCTTTTCCAAGTAAGATCATATTCAAATTTTAAGACCTAGATCAAATATTACCTTTTTATGGACCCCAATTTCCTGTGTATTTCCATATTCCCTTTATTTATCTATAAAAGTACTTACTACGTTCAATTGCAATGATTTGCTTGATATCTATTTTCTCCACTACGTTATGAATCTCCTACAAGCAGAAACTATTGGAGTCATCTCCATCCCTAGCACTGACTCAGGGCTTGACACATCATGAGTGCAAAGTAAAAGCTTATTGAGTACTAATAGGTCATTGAAAAAAAGTTAGGATGGCATCATAGAAGACAAACTTCCATCTTCTCAAAATTCATTTTGATCACAATGCAGAGACAAAATATGAGGCTGGCTACGCTCTTTACACTGACTCAGTACAAAATTGCTTATATTTTTAGAACAAACTATCACTAGAAGTGCATTCTTTTTTTTTTTTTTTAAGATTTTATTTATCCATTTGACAGAGAGAGAGACAGAGAGAGAGGGAACACAAGCAGGGGGAGTGGGAGAGGGAGAAGCAGGCTTCCCGCCAAGCAGGGAGCCCGATGCGGGGCTCGATCCCAGGAGCCTGGGATCATGACCTGAGCTGAAGGCAGATGCTTAACAACTGAGCCACCCAGGTGCACCCAGAAGTGCATTCTTATTTAAACTCACAACATATGAAGTCAAGCACTCTACACTTCATTCCCATAACCCACAACTCACAATTGTAAGTTCATATTCTGTAAAGAAAACTTATAGAAAAATATTCTAATGGGAACTACACATTTCTCAAAGCATAAAAGAGCCAAAAATAGTTAGATGAATAAAATTATCTTATAACAAATACAGTCATTAGCAGAACAAATAGGAAAGATTAAAATGAATTACTTGAAAACACAGATACAAAACTTTTACCAATTATGATAAGAGGTAAAAAATGTGTAATATAGTTAATATCATAAACATTTAAGGTATATTTAAATGTTAGTATGAATATATAAAATCTTTGGCTCAATTTAAAATTTCTCTAATGTAAGATACTAATACTAATTAGGATACAGTAGTTTTCATTTATAATAACTGCATTTTACATGGTCCGGGGCAATACCTGAGAATTTGCACTTCTAACAAGTTCATGGGTGATGCTGTTGCTGCTGGTCTAGGCCTCACACTTTGGCAACCACTGATCTAGATAATCAAATGATTTTTTTTTCATCTCAGCATGGACTTACTCTTAAAAAAAAAAGTAACCTGTGCCAATGTCAGTATTTCAAAAGCAGTTTTCAATGCATGATAGGTACTTATGTTTTGCTTGACAGCAACTTATTTCTTAAATTAAAAATTATAGAGCACAGATTATATGCAAAGTATTATAGAAAAATAGAGATCAGTAAATAAATCATGATCCCCATCTTCACTGAGTGTACAATCTAGAAAAGTATATACCAAAATAATAAAAATCAGAAATGGGTACAAAGGGGCTGACAGTACAACAAAGGCTCTGTGGCAAAGATGCTGGGAGACCAGGCCTTGGAGACGCTTAAATATGGTGAAACAGAGATGGCGGAGAAGGGCATTCCAACAGAAAGGGGGCAGCATGGCTGAAGGACTGAAGGGATGAGGTGAGGTCCAAGGAGATCAGTTAGGAAGCAAAAACAGTTGAGGTAAAAGAAAATGAGAGCAGTGATAATGCTAATGGAAAGAAGATGGATTTGAGACAAGTAGAAGTTAAATCTGCTGGAAGGAGCAACTGATTAGGTACGGAAAGTGTACGTGGAGGGCTGGGGAGAACGGGAGCTTCATGAACAGATCTTGTGATGGAAAGAAAAGGAGTGCAATTAGAGATGTTAAGATGATTGCTGCCATTTTAGATCTATTGATTTAGAGCGCTGCCATTTTAGATCTATCGATTTAGAGCTGCCAGTGGAGATATCCATTCCTTCGAAATGTCTAGCAGGTAACTGAAAATGTAGGGTTAGATTTGGGAAAAATGATGGAGCTGAAGATAAATATTTGGAAGTCACCCAACAAGAAGTGATCTTTGAGGCTCTCTGAGTAAAAGTGATTTCAAAGGGATGGAGCAGGGGCGCCTGGGTTGCTCAGTCAGTTAAGCGCCTGCCTTTGGCTCAGGTCATGATCCCGGGGTCCTGGGATGGAGCCCCATGTGGGGCTCCCTGCTCAGCGGGGAGCCTGCTTCTCCCTCTCTCTCTGCTGCTTCCTCTGCTTGTGACCTCTCCCTTAAATAAATAAATAAATAAAATCTTTTAAAAAAAGGGTGGAGTAGTGGTCCTCAAACTTGAGTTGCCATCAGAATCCCCTGGAGGGCTTGTTAAACCACAGATTGCTGGGTCCCTCCTCAGGGTTTCTGATTCAATAGGTCTGGGGTGAAGCCTGAGAATCTGCATCACTAGCAAGTCCTATGGGTGATGCTGCTTTTGCTTCTTCAGGGCCCCTAAGTTTAGAACCACTGATCTAGATCATCAAATCATATTTTTTTTTTCATTTCAGCATTGATGTACTCTTTAAAAGAATATATTAACCTGTACTAGTCAGTATCTTCTCTTCTGTGTAGTTGAGTATCTACCACTGCTTAACTATCAATCGAAAAGAATAAGGCAATCGTATTCCTATCTACCTGTTTTCTATGTATTAAACACTGTCTTTCAATCAATAATTGAGAAACCAAGGCTGTCCAAAGGATCTGCTCTACCTTACAGCCATGGTAGGAAGGGTTCCAACGAATTCTTATTTTCCCTCAGGACTGCGTTGCACGAAGTGTCCACATTCTGATGACAGACTTTCCAGACCTTGTTTGGTGGTCTCCACTAACCTTTCTAAAGCTCTTTTAGAAGCCAAATATTTATTTGAGAAATTCATCCCACATAGGCAATGGCTTGAAAAAGCACTTAGCTGTTTACTTTTCATCTTACTATAAATTATTTATCCTTCAGTCTGTAAATGGCTATTTGTAGGATTAGACAAATTTTCAATGCTCTGATAAGAGGATTGTTGCATCTAATTTCATGCATAATCCGTAAAAAGCACATGTAACCTACAACCTCAGCTGGATTGGCATATGAACAGATTCACTAAGCATATATAAGCAGTGCACATTATTAACCAGTTAACATCAGCAAATTTGTTTTTGAAACCTAAGTTTACATACACAAGCATTCTCTACTGAGAAATAATATTAGATTTAAAAATCCAGTAAAAACACACCTTGAGTAGATTTCTCCACTTCTTTCCTCTTCCTGCTCTGGCTATTGTAATTCATCCTCAGCTCTTGGTTGTACTCATGCAGAGTTTCTCTGGAGTTGTACGACTGTCTTGGTTTTTGTCCATCTTCACTTTCATCAGAAGAACTCGTATCAGCTAGATCCATTTCATGCTTGACTTTTGAGAGAGGCTGGTAGGGTTTGCAGTCCATTTGCTCCATGTCTGATTAAGCAAGCTCAATTTCATGAAACAAAGGAAGAGGAACTCCTTTAATGTAAGCAGTCCTGGAAGAGAGGGAAAAACACAGCCTTCTTAGATTTGTCCTTTTGAGAGGAAATGCATCTGGCAGATTCACAATTGGTTCTGATAATACTATCAACGGAGTGAAGCAAAAGACAAACTAGATGACATGAAGCTAGCCTGAGGCAATAATAACACTGTGTTATATGCACACATTGGCAAGCATTTAGGATTAAACTGGAGGTTGCAGCATCAGAAAATACTCGAGGTAGAAGAGAGACAGCCTTCAAAAATATTTGTATTGGAATGCAAATAAAGGACAACGTTTTCTAAGGTGTGTGCGTGTTCTTAATGATAATGTCAGTGGTTAGGTTAAAAAACATTCTAAGATTTGAAAGTGGCCAGGAGTACAAATGCTAACCTAGCACATCCCACATTTGAAATGAAAACTGGTAAGAGAACTACATTTAGCAAAAACAGAGTCTTGCCTCTGGTTTAATACTGCATTTAAGAAAGGGGTTTTGAAAGAGAGAAGAATTCTGAGTGAGGGAGGCTCATGAAATAAAGTGTCCTTGAGGGGGACTGAGCTCTTTGTGTCCATATTGTGGCTTTTGAGCCTCGGGCTTGCAGAGAATTTTTAATGAGTTAGGTGGCGGTAAATTTTTGTTCTTCATAGTTCCGAGAGGATGTAAACAACACTTCTGGTGAGTATACTGGTACAGGAACAGCAGGATCTAAATTGGGTTTAGAAATAGAAATTTTAAAACTTCATGATAAATCACTGAAAGAACCCCGCTTTCCCCCACAGAATGCTGAGCTCGAAGTCACTAAGGCTCTTAGGACAGGGAGAGGTATTATCTGCCTTACCACAGACATGTTTGAGAACATCAAATGCTATTTGAGATGTCCAAGTCCTCCGAAAAGCTTAAAGCCCTGTAAAAATGTACTTATTTTCATTCCTTACATTATTTTGTCATTATTTGCATCAAATGCTGCAACTTGCAACTTGGTCCTTTTTTGTGCAATGTTAAAAAACCTAGTTCAAACCTAAATAACTTTATCATTTTATTTTGCAGTGAAATGGACTCCTTTATTTTTCTTAAGCTCTTGGCCACAGGTATTTTCAAAGAAATCTACAGACATCTGGATAGTGGTTCCTAAATCATGTGCATAATCTCACTTTTTGGAATTCCTATTGTATGAATAGCAAACACACAGAATACAGAAATCACTCAATAAAGCTTATGTATTGACTGATAGGCATTCAATGGTACCTAATCCTTTGTAGTAGGAACAGTTTCATGAATTGAATTGTTACTTCCCTAACCAAATGTTAAAGTCCTTGAAGGCAGAATCTGAGTCTTATGCTTCTTTACAGCCCCCATACCACTTAGCACTACTCTAGGCACACACACAAACCTACAAATTCCATAAATAAATGGTCTACAGAAACAGCAGTTTGGTATGACTTAATACAAGAGATGAGCATAGTTGGAGAGAAAGCAAATCGAATATTCTAAGTGAACATACACTGATGATTTGGCAACAATCTAACCTCATGCCATCTCATGAGACATGCTGTCTATACACTCCCCAATTTATAGCTCCAACATAATCTCTCCCCTGAGCCACAGACGTGAATATCCCGCTGCCCACTCAATATCTCTACCTGGCTTCTCAAACTTACTATGTTCAAAACCAATGTCCCGATTCCCATGGCTTCCCAGACCTGCTCCTCTCACGGTCTTCCCCATCTTGGTAAGTGGCAGCTCCATTCTTCCATTTGCTCAGGCCACACACATCGATTCCTGTCTTTCACATGTAATCCATCAGTAAATTCTGTTGGTGCTACCTTTGAAATATATCCAGAATCCGATGACAGCTCTCCACTTCCGCACTCCCACCTCACTGGTTCAAGCCATCATCCCCCACCTGGATTATTGCAACAGCCTAACTGATGCGCTGCTTCCACCACTGCTCTCGTTATAGCACATTTCCCACACTACAGCCAGAATGAAGCTTTTAAAATCGAAGTCATGTCATGTCTCTCTTTTGCTCTGAAGCAGCAATGGTGTCTCATTTCCTTCAAAATAAAAGCCAAAATCCATACAATGACCAACAAGGTCCCTATATAAGGTTCACCTGTCTCTCTACCTTAACCTCTCTAATCTCATCCCCCCCATATTTCCACCTATCTCATGCACTTTAGGTGCACCAACCTTCTCTCAGTTTCTGAAAATCAGGCATGTTTCCACCTCAGGGCCTTTGCAATGTCCTGTTGTAAACCACCAAAAAAAGGTCACTTCTCATCCTCCTTCCTGTCTTTCATTGCACTTATCACCAAATGACATACTATATATTTTGCTTATATGTTTATTGTCTGTCATCTGTCTCTCCCCACAAAAATGTAAGCTCCATGAAGTGTTTTTATCTTTTCTATTCATTGTTATGTCCCCCAAACAAGCACAATGTCTGGCATGTAGTAGACTCTTGATCAACACTTGCTGAATGAACTGAATACACTGTTGCCCAGCTTTCACAAGAGGGGCTAGAGAGAATGTGGAAATGAATAGGTCATTGTCTCCACCCCCAAGGAATTCACAGTCCAATGCTAGTGATAAACAACTCTACTACCAAGCAGAATGAAAGGACAGATAAAGAAAGACAAAGCAATATGAGGATACTGGAAAAGACTGTACTTGACTCAGCTTGTTTGTTCATCACCAATGCCATCACCACAACCAGTGAAATTCTACTGAGCATCTATGTGATAAGGCCAATTTTAATCTCTTTCTCCTTAGCTTCCCATAGCATGTGCTTCATAAGGTGGACAGCTGGCTGGATTTTAGACCCCGACTTTGCTACAAATAGTGCAAAGTGAGAAACGTATCAATAGCAAACTTCCAGAAATGTATCTTTGCCCCAGAGAACTGGACTTCCACCCAGAAAAGGAGGCATCAATACAATTAATCTAGTTTCATTTTAGCCAGCACATACAGTTTTTGTTCATTAAAGAATGAAAGTTTACCAAGTAGGGGTAGAGAGCTATTTTCCACATAAGGACACTGATGATGCAAAAGTATCAATCAAGAGGGGTGCCTGGGTGGCTCAGTCATCAAGCGTCTGCCTTCAGCTCAGGTCATGATCTCAAGAGTCCTGGGATCGAGTGAGCCCGCCCTGTATCAGGCTCCCTGCTCAGGGTGAAGCTTGCTTCTCCCTCTCACACTCCCCCTGCTTGTGTTCCCTCTCTGTCAAATAAATAAATAAAATCTTTAAAAAAACCCCAAAAATATCAATCAAGGACCTTATAATTAAAAATAATTTAATAAATTAAAAATTTAATAAAATGCTTTCTGTTACAATATAGACATATATATTTTTTATTTTCTCTCCCATCTCTCACTTGCTCTTTCAGTCAAGTTTGGTTCAGTCTGATTGGGATTAACATAGCAGAGGTATGGTCAAAATAGCATTCCTTCTTAAGTCTCAATTGGTTATGAATTTACACTTATCTTAACACCATTCAAACCTAACAAGTTAAATTTAAAAATGAAAAACATCTCACTTCTAATGCCTAATGTTGTGTTCTGGCAACTATGATTTATGATGTTAAAATCACCCTTATTTTTATGTATGAAAATGCAGACATTCTCTTTCCCCTCAGTATGTTTATTTGCAACATGAAAACTCCTGGAGGAGAGGGGGACGGAAGGGAGAGAGAGAGAGGGAGAGGAATATTCCTATAGCCATTTTGAACCATTCTTGAAGTTCTAATCATAGCTATTCACAGCTATGAATCAGCTACTAATGTCACATCTATTCAAGGTTATTGAGGGTTCTTGGAAGCAATCTTCCTTTAAACCACAAATTGGTATAAACCAAGAGAAAATAATCCTTCCCTGCTCCCTGACCCTCAACCACAACTTCCTGTCTTAATGTTTGTGTCAGTGGACGCAGATAGCAGAAGACACATTCCAGCTCTCTTTAGGCACATGATATGGAGACGCACAGCTCTGTGCCTAGAGCTAGGAAACCGTGATATTTACCAAAGTCCTGTGAAGCAGAGCTTGGCTTCACTCACAAATGGTTCACTTTTTGGAAATAAAAAAAATAGGACAACATTAAGAGAACGACTAATACTTTAAGCCTCACAAAGTTTGAAAGCACAATAATTCTGAGAAGATGCTGTTCTAAATACTCTAAGGTTAAGGATAGGCTCATATTTGCTTTATTGACTTATTCATTCAGTGCCCATCATGGCATCCTGGAGGTCCACTGGTAAGCAAATGTTATTTAGACATGACGATCACACTGTCAACTCATAGAAAAACCAAATGTATACATAATGCTATTCACAGCAAAGCAGTTTTTCTTATTTCTCTATTATTTTGATAATGATAAACTTTACAAAAAGGAACTATGTGGGTAAAATACATGCTGCTATTATGAAACCATGAAAATCAAAGTCAATTATTTCTCTACTGCAGAACATACATTCAGATAGGTCACACAGTATAACTTCAAATGTCACTACCTGTGGTTTACCTTTGTGTTTTCCACTTGCTACTTGCTACTAAGATAAACTCCAAGGTGACTTTGGAAAAGACCCAGGGAGGCATATGTTTATTTCTTTAGTAACCATAAGGCCATGAAGAGACAACTTGGTATGTGAAAATCATTGGCCTTGGAATGGCAGAATCAGCAACTTAACAACAGTAGCTGCTAACTCAGGTGGCGGGTCGGCCCACCAGGCACTGTTCTAAGTGCTTTTCACACATTAACTCCTTTAATTCTCATTGTGTCTAATGAAGTAGGTACATTTTATAGATAAAGAAAATCAAGGAACAGAGCAGTTAAGTGACTAGACCAAGGTCACATAACTAGTAAATTGTAGAACCGAGATTTCAATTCATACAATCTGCTCCAAAGGCCACACTCTTAATCCCTACTCCACGTTGTCATTCAGAAGATACTTGGCACAGTGGCCTACGGTATATCACCTCCTCTCTCTTAGGGCCTCTAGTTTTTCTAAATGTAACAAGGA